AAGCCGTTTCATTGCCACGCAGACAGGAGATGCTAATCTAAAAAAGAAAAATTTAAAATAAAAGACATTTGAAATCTATTATAGCACATTATATGTCAGCATCAGCTGTCCCTAGTATCAAGAAGTAATGAAACAACTAGAAATATCATATACACAAGTAAAAGAGTAAAATAAAAATGGAATTAGCATTTTGAAGTGACAGTTCTGAAATGCTAAAAAAGCTAATCTCAAAACTGCATGTTTCTGGGTGGGAGAAGGATTTCTAGGACATGCTTTTTCCCTAAGTGAATTTTCCAAGAGTCCCAAGTGTTATTTGCCTTCTAGTTCTGTAGTGTCAATATGGATTTCTCATACCAATTTCTGCATAGCCTGCTTCTACAGTGAAAATATCTTGTGTTTAGAAAACATATTAACACATTTTAAGAACATATTTATTGCATTTAAACTAACAGTAAAAGTGTACATGGAGAAAAAGCTATTTTCTTAAAAAGGTGCCATGTGGTCAGCCTTAGGGTTAACCAACAAGCTTGTTTTAAGCACTGTTTTTTAAAATCTTTTCTAGATGCCTAGACTGGATCCCGGGGAGCAAACGAGCCCAATGGATTTCCTTTGCTTCTTGGCTTTTGGGGGATATTCCAGTTTAGTTCCTAGTGAAGCTTCATGGTGAAACACCTACCAAGAAACACCAAACCAGGAAGGCTTAGGTGACTGTAAGTGAAATAACCACTTACGGAGGCTACAGGAGAAGGAGCCTGTCTTAGTCTGAAGGAGGATAAGGCTGTGGAGAGCTTTAGCACAACAGTCGGATTGTCAAAGAGCGTGGCTCTAGCAAGCTCTCTGCTTGCCAGTAGCGAGACCGGGGGCCGGGGGGAAGAGTAGCTTAAAAAAAGAAGTGAGAAAAGGCCTGAAACTATTTGGTAATGTGGTTACAAGCATTACCTTTATTGTAAACCAACTGACTCATGGAGAAGGTTTTTTGGTTTTGGTTTTTAACCTGGCATGCTAATTCTGTGGCTTATGGACTGATCTCCAAGTATACAAAAGGAAGGATAATCCGGTCTAGGGTTGCAACCTTAGTGGGGCAGGTGCATTGTTAGTGTTCTGTGGGTATTACCTCTTCTTTACTGACAGCGGTAATAAAATGTATTCTCCAAGTGTGGACAGGACCTATATTAGCATCAGCCTCAAACCTTGAGTCCTAGGGGAGAGTGCTGTCTATGCCTGTGCAGAGCTCTTGGCAGGATAAAACTCTGATTAGTGATGTGGAGGGTGGAGTGGATGTAAATTTAATGTTATTATGCCAACTTCCATTAGACAACCTTGTGCAACTCGGGCAGTTTTGGAATGCAGTTCAGTTACCTCTTCTAACTTGAGAGCTTGAACAATAGGATTTGAACTTCTGGAATACAACTGACTAGGCTAAATCTTATCTTCAGGAATGTAGACAGATAGGTAAGTTAACATATATATGTGATTAACTTATGTATATATACACATACACACACATATATACATATAGGTTATACAGGTATATATACCTTATGCAGGTGTCTTCGCAATTATGAGTGCCTGCAGCACTTTAAATACCTCACTTGCTACTCCGAATTCCCCCTAGTTGCTGAGGTGCTTCCAACTGATGTGTGTAATATGGATGCTCCATATATATTTTTCCCCTCCAACCTCACTGCAAGTTTGTGTCCTTTATACTATTAGTATACTGGGCTCCATATTCATCTCCAAGTCTGTCAACATAGTTCACCTCCTGTAATCAGGAAATAGTGATTAAATGAACACCCAAGTACAGAAGCTGTCAACCTGGTGTTCATCTTTTTTAAAGTTAAAAAAACCAAATGTTCAATTACCTTTTGCACTCATGTGGCTCTGAAAAGCTCTTCTTACAAAAAGAAAGTGGCTTCATCTCTTCTATGATCTTAAGACATAATCAAGTTCAAAGGTCAATGTTAACCGTGTCATTTTTAGCATTTATGGGAACAATAAAGGAAAAAAAAAAGATCCCCATGCAAAAGGTATATGCCACAAGCCCTGCGGTTCTCTGTCTTCTAAGGTGGGTTGTCAGAGCTCCTGAAAGGAGCTTGTCTGGGGCATTTAGGTTCTAACCACAACACAGTCTTGCTGCTTTTAGCTATCTATTTCAGCACCTGGTCCACCATTGGAAGGTCTTTGAGACTTTGTTTCAGGATTGGGTTGCAGATAGCATATGACAGGGGAAAAAAAAGTTATTTATATCCTCTTTATGTGCACAGGAAAAAAATTCTCTAGAATATATATATGCCATCGATCTAAGAGGGAACATAATCCGCTCTCAAACTACAGAGCTAGTACAACTTCTTTAGTGCATGCAACAACTTTGACCTCGGTGTAATTACTCCAGGCTTACATCAATATAACAGTGCTGGGATTCTTTTCAATTATTTTCTGGGAGTGGCAGGTTCTCTTCCCGGAGTGCTTATTTGTTTCGAATTGGCCTAATTTGCTCAACAATTTGCGCATCCCTTCTTTGGGATCCCACGTTTGCCTGGGG